TTTGCGAATAGGTATATATGTAGCAAAACACAGACTGAAAGACTAAGCCTAATTCATGATAAGTCATTTCAACCACTTTGTATCGTTCCATCATATAAATATACCCTGATTATTTATATGTTCTCCTTTTGATGGACAATAGCTTATTTCCAATTTTTGTATTTTACAAGCAGTGCTGCAATGTGCTTCCTTTTACATGTCTCCTAGTATATATGTGCAGAAAGTTTCACTAGACCAATGAATACCTAGAATTAGACTTGTTGGGTCCTGTAGTATGCTTACTTTCAACTTTACAAAATATTGCTAAATTATTTTCCAAAGTTGTACCAGCTGGGCACAGTGGTTCATACCTGTAATCCCAGTACTTTGGAAGGCCAAGGCAGTAGGATCATTTGAGGCTAGGAGTTTGAGACATGCCTGGACTACATAGCAAGACCCCATCTCAAATAAATAATACAAATATAAAATATATATAAAGAAAAAAATCATATTGTAGTCATACTGGCCACAAGAGGCTGCACCTCAGCAACTAGCTGATCTCAGGCCAGCTGGGCCAGGGTTGGGTGAACCCATCCTCTGAAGAGCTGGGCAGGTAGCAGGTGGTAAGACAGGACATGGCTGTAGGCAGCAGCCAGGAGTCTCTACTTCTGGAGTAGCCATTCATACTTGTGGTTGTAAAGTGTCTGTTCCCTACCTCATTGTCTGGGTTGGAGGTAGAATGTGGATGAATGACAACAGGACTTCTGCATTCACAGAACTAGAGAGGGGAGGGGTAAGCTAGGATGGGGAATGAAGATGAATCACAAGCAGCAGCAGAAGTGAGGGGAACAGTAGAGAGATAGGAAGGGTGATATTGCTAGTCAAAACAGTGGGAGAAAGACCCCAAAGACATTTCAGAGATCACTGAGTAGGTTGTCCTTCCCATTCCCAGTTCAGAGCAGGACCTTGAAGGCAGAGTTTCTAGAGAAGTGCCCACCAGACCTCAGCATTTGCTGCCCAGGATCACCTCAGGACTCTGCTACCCATGTTTTTGTGCAGAGTTCCTTGGCTGCTCCAGCTATGGCTCAAGTGAGCCCATGTGCAGCTCATGCCTCTGCTCTGGAGGGCATGAGGGTAAGCCTTGGCAGCATGCACATGGTGTTGACTCTGCAGAAGTGCCGAGTACATGAGTTATGGGGCCGTGGTGGCATCTCCCTAGATTTCAAAGGATGTTATCAGACAGTCTGGGGCCCAGGCAGAGACTTGTTGCAGAGGCAGAGCCACTTCAGAGAGCCTTCACTAGGGCAATGCCTAGTGGAGCCGTGGAAACAAGAATCCTGCAGAGTCTCCACTAGGGCAGTGCCTGGTGGAACCATGGGAGTGGAATCACCACTGGGACCCCAGAGCTGTAGAGCTACCAGCATACAGTGCCAACCTGGGAAAGCTGCAGGCATGAGACTCTAACCTGAGACAGCTGAAACATGTTCTGAGCCCAACAAAGCCATAGGGGCAGGGCTGCCTGAGGCCTTGGGGGCCCAACCCCTGTCCTAGTGTGCCCAAGATGCAGGACATGGAATCAAAGGTGGTTATTCTATACCTTTAAGACTTAATGTGGTTTTCTCTGTTGGGTTTTGGAATTACTTGGGACCACTTTCTTCTTACCTGTTTCTCCCTCTTAGAATGGGAATGTCTATCCTATGTCTGTCCCACTGTATTAGTCCATTCTTTCACTGCTATAAAGAAATACCAGAGACTGGGCAATTTATAGACAAAAGAGGTTAATTGGCTTATGGTTCTACAGACTATACAGGAAGCATGGTGCTGGCATCTGCTCAGATTCTGTGGAGGCCTCAGGAAACTCAATCACAGCAGAAGGTGAAGGGGAAGCAGGCATGTCTTATATGGCTGGAGCAGGAGGAAGAGGGGAGGTACGACACACTTTTTTTATTGCATTTTAGGTTTTGGGGTACATGTGCAGAGCATGCAATACAGTTGCATAGGTACACACATGGCAGTGTGTTTTGTTTGCTTTCTCCCCTTCACCCACATTTGGCATTTCTCCCCAGGCTGTCCCTCCCCACCTCCCCCTCCCACTGGCCCTCCCCTTTTCCCCCCAATAGACCCCAGTGTTTAGTACTCCCCTCTCTGTGTCCATGTGTTCTCATTTTTCATCACCCGCCTATGAGTGAGAATATGCGGTGTTTCATTTTCTGTTCTTGTGTCAGCTTGCTGAGAATGATGTCCTCCAGATTCATCCATGTCCCTACAAACGACACGAACTCATAATTTCTGATTGCTGCATAATATTCCATGGTGTATATGTGCCACTTTTAAACAACCAGTTCTCATGAGAGCTCACCATCATGAGAACAGCATAGAGGGGATGGTGTTAAACCATTCATAAAGGATCCACTCCAATAGTCCAGTCACTTCCCACCAGGCCCCACCTCTAACACTGGGGTTTACGATTCAACAGGAAACTTGGGCAGGAACACATACCCAAACCAGATCACCCAGTATTGTATTTTGTAAGTAAACCACTTGTTTAATTTTAATCTGTTTCTTCACAACTGGAGGAAAATTTGCCTCAAGGTGAATTATGCCTGGAGTCCCATTCATATCTGATTCAGATGAGACTGGACTTTGGATCTTTGAGTTGACACTGGAACAATTTAAGAATTTTCAGTGATGAAGTCCTTGCTTATGCCTATGTCCTGAATGGTATTGCTAGGTTTTCTTCTAGAGTTTTTATGGTGTTAGGTCTTATGTTTAAATCTTTAATCCATCTGGAGTTAATTTTTTTATAAGATGTAAGGAAGGGGTTCAGTTTCAGCTTTCTGCACTGGCTAGCCAGTTTTCCCAACACTATTTATTAAACAGAATAATGGGGAATCCTTTCCCCATTGCTGGTTTTTGTCCAGTTTGTCAAAGATCAGATGGTTGTAGATGTGTGGCATTACTTCCAAGGCCTCTGTTTTGTTCCATTGGTCTATATCTCTGTTTTGGTACCAGTACGGTGCTGTTTTGATTACTGTAGCCTTGTAGTATACTTTAAAGTCAGGAAGTGTGATACCTTCAGCTTTGTTCTTTTTTATTAGGATTGTCTTGGCTATGCAGGCTCTTTTTTGATTCCATATGAAGTTTAAGGTGGTTTCTTCCAGTTCTGTGAAGAAGGTCAATGGTAGCTTCATGGGGATAGCATTGAATCTGTAAATTACTTTGGACAGTATGGCCATTTTCACGATATTGATTCTTCCTAACTAGGAGCATGGAATGCTTTTCCATCTATTTGTGTCCTCTTATTTCCTTGAGCAGTAGTTTGTAGTCCTCCTTGAAGAAGTCCTTCACGTCCTTTGTTAGTTGTATTCCTCTGTATTTTATTCTCTTTGTAGCAATTGTGAATGGGAGTTTGCTCATGGTCTGGCTCTTTGTCTGTTATCGGAGTATAGGAATGCTTGTAATTTTTGCACATTGATTTTGTATCCTGAGACTTTGCTAATGTTGCTTATCATCTTAAGGAGATTTTGGGCTGAGACAATGGAGTCTTCAAAATATACAATCATGTCCTGCAAATAGAGACAATCTGGCTTCCTCTTTTCCTAACTGAATACCCTTTATTTCTTTTTCTTGCCTGATTGCTCTGGCTAGAACTTCCAGTACTATATTGAATAGGAGTGGTGAGAGAGGGCACCCTTGTCTAGAGTTAGTTTTCAAAGAGAATGCTTCCAGTTTTTGCCCATTCAGTATGGTATTGGCTGTGGGGTTGTCATAAATAGCTTTTATTATTTTGCGATACATTCTATTGATACCTAGTTTATTAAGAGTTTTTAGCATAAAGGGCTGTTGAATTTTGTCAAAGGCCTTCTCCGCATCTATTGAGATAATCATGTGGTTTTTCTCTTTGGTTCTGTTTATGTGATGGATTACGTTTATAGATTTGTGTATGTTGAACTAGCCTTGCATCCCCAGGACGAAGCCTACTTGATCATGATGGATAAGTTTTTTGATGTGCAGAAGCCAAAATAGACAAATGAGATCTAATTAAACTTAAGAGCTTCTGCACAGCAAAAGAAACAATCATTAGAGCAAACAGAATGAGAAAAAATTTTGCAAGCTACCCATCTGACAAAGGGCTAATATCCACAATCTACGAAGAGCTAAAACAAACATATAAGGAAAAAACAAACAACCCCATCAAAAAGTGGGCAAATGATATGAACACTTTTCAAACAAAGACATTTATGTGGCCGAAAAACATGAAAAAATGCTCATCATCACTGGTCATTAGAGAAATGCAAATCAAAACCACATTGAGATACCATCTCACACCAGTTCGAATAGTGATCATTAAAACATCTGGAGACAACAGATGCTGGAGAGGATGTGGAGAAATAGGAATGCTTTTATACTGTTGGTGGGAGCGTAAACTAATTCAACCATTGTGGAAGACAGCGTGGCAATTCCTCAAGGATCTAGAACCAGAAATACCATCTGACCCAGTAATCCCATTACTGGGTATATACCCAAAGGATTATAAATCAGTATATTATAAAGACACATACACACATATGTTCATTGTGGCACTGTTTACAATAGCAAAGACTTAGAACTAACCCAAATGCCCATCAAAGATAGACTAGATAAAGAAAATATGGCACATATACACCAAATGCAGCCATAAAAAAGGATGAGTTCATGTCCTTTGCAGAGACATGGATGAATCTGGAAACCATCATTCTCAGCATACTGACACAAGAACAGAAAACCAAATACTGCATATTCTCACTCATAAGTGGGTATTGAACAATAAGACATGGACACAGGGAGGGGAACGTCACACACTGGGGTCTGTTTGGGGGGTGGGGGGCTTGGGGAGGGATAGCAGGGGTGGGGAGATTGGGGAGGGATAACATTAGGACAAATACCTAATGTAGGTGTCATGGGGATGGAGGCAGTAAACCACCATGGCATGTGTATACCTATGTAACAGTCCTGCAGGATCTGCTCATGTACCCCAGAACTTAAAAGTAAAATTTTTTTTTAAAAAAGAAAAATATACAGAAAAAGTAGCAAAAAAGAATTTTGGGGCCACTGCAATGGAATAAATGTATTTTTGCATTGTGAGGACATGAATTTTGGAGGCCAGAGTAGAATGCCATGGTTTGAATGTGTCCCCTAATGTTCATGTGTTGGAAACTTAATTCCGAATGGAACAGTATTGGGAGGTGGGACATAATAATAAGTGATGAGGTTGGCCGGGTGTGGTGGCTTATACCTGTAATCCCAGCACTTTGGGAGGCCGAGGCAGGTGGATCATGAGGTCAGGAGTTCAAGATCAGCCTGGCCAATGTGGTGAAACCCTGTCTCTACTAATAATACAAAAAGTAGCCGGGCATGGTGACACATGCCTGTAGTCCCAGCTACTTCGGAGGCTAAAGCAGGAGAATTGCTTTAACCCGAGAGGTGGAGGTTACAATGAGCTGAGATCACACCACAGCACTCCAGCCTGGGTGACAGAGCAAGACTCCATCTCAAAAAAAAGAAGTGATTAGGTCATGAGGGCTCTACCCTCATTAATAGATTAATGTCATTATCTCAGGAGTGGGTTAGTTATTGCAAGAGTGGCTGTGTTATAAAAGCAAGTTTGGTTCTTCCTGTTCCCTCACTCATACCCTCTCTTGTCCTTCCACCTTTCATTATGGCATAATGCAGTGTGAAGGCTCCATGTTCTTGGACTTCCCAGTCTCCAGTACAATGAGCCAAACAAATTTCTGTTTATTATGAATTACCTAGTCTGTGGTATTCTGTTAAAGCAATGTAAAACAGACTGGGACACTGCCTGTTTCAAAACCTCCAATGGCTTCTAGTTGCATTTTGTACATTGTCCAAGCTCTTTACTTTGACCTAATAAGATAGAGCAGCCCCTACCAAAATATCTGATCTTATCCTATACTATGTTGTTTGTTTGAGATGCTTCCAGCTATAATTTGTTCTCTCTTCATGGCCTTTGCACCCTGTGTAAAATGTTCTCTCATCATCTTTCTCATCATCCACATCTCAGCTCTAGGGTCAGCTCCTCAGAGAGGCTTTCCCTGGTCATCCCAACTTAGTAGCCCCCTACTCTGATCAGTATCTCATCACATCACCCTGGTTTTGTTTTTCTTTTATTTATTTTGAAGGGGGGGCAGTTCACTCAAGACCTGGGCTGTGTCCAGGTCAAATGCCTGCTTTATTCAACAGGAAATGCTCAAGTGGGACCCATCCCCACCTTTCACAGTATAAAGTGAACAGGGAGCAAGGCAGGAAGCTAGAAAAATAACATGCATCCCGACGATCCAGAAAGACCCTGCTAAGACTGGTCAGCATGAGAGAACAAAAGAGGTGACAGAAAAGCCTTGGGCAGCCTGAGCCACGATGGGCCTAGCAGAAGTAGTTGGGACATTCATGGGGAAACAAATCCCAGGCTTGATTAAAGGTGTCCACAACAGCCGGCTCCATGGGCCCTTCCTCTGCCACTGCCAAGTTCTGCTCCAGCTGCGCCAGGCCGGACATGCCCAGGATGACCACGTCTCTCTGGGCACCCTGCAGCTGTGAGTGGTGGTACATCCACTGGAGGGTGTCTGAGGTCATACTAGGGGCACTGGCACCATATGCAGCCTGCACGGCCTTCTCCACCAGGGCAGTGGCCTCGAAATGATGCTCCTTCCAGAAGCAATTCCTGTAGGTCTCAGCCCAGCTATTCACAAAGAAGCGACCCACGGGCTGTTTCCTGTCCTTGTTCTCATATAGAACCTCTGTCCAGAGTGCCTGAGACAGGGGAAGAGCTCCGTTTCCACCTGCCGGGTGGTGGCATTGTACAACCCTGGTACACAGTGGGCAGGATCTAGCCATTGCTCTTGCAGAGTGTACAGATCTTGATCACTTCCCAGGTGGCATAGTTGGAGAGACCAAGCTCAACGAACTTTCTCTCCTGGTGCAGCTGGTGGCAGACACACAGAGTCTCTTCCACTGTGATGCTGTGGTCAGGTGCATGTAGGTAGAAGAGGTTCACTTGGGGACACTGCAGCCTCTTCAATGACGTTTCCAGTTGGGACCATACACTGTCAGGCTTTAGTGATTTTCTATCCCAAGGGTTGGCCTTGGTGACAAATTTCACTCTGCAGTCACTGCTGCCCAGTCCCAGCCCCAGGCCGCCCAGGATGGTCTCAGACTGTACATGAAGGCCGTGTCCAGCTTGGTGTGGCTGCACTCCAGGAAGGCATGCACTGCTGCGGTGCTGGCAGATGTATCCATGCAGTGCCCCATCTCCATGGTGCCCAGCACCATGACGGGCCTGGCCGGGACACCCAACGCGGCCTGCAGTGGTGGTGGACAGGACATGGCAAGCACATGGGCCTCGGGTGGCAGGGAGCAACGTGTGCAGTGGATGGCAGCATGGGGCATGGTGCGACACATGGTGCTCAGCACGGCTGTGGCGCCTGCCCATCATCCTGCTTTATTTTCTCCCTATGACTAACATTATCTGAAATTGTCTGTTCATTTATTGTTTTGCTTATTATTATATATCTTCAATACCACTAGAATATAAACTTCATGAGATGGCAACCTTATTTGCCTTCGTCCTGCTGAATGTCTACCGACTAGCATGGTACTTAGTAAGTGTTCAGTGGATATTTGTTGAATGAATGAGTCAGGATATGGACGGGAGTTGTTGAAACCATGGGAAGTATATGATCATATGATCACCTCAAGGAGAGCCTGAAGAGTTAAATGTGGTTTGTAAAGGAACGAGTAGAGGAAAGAATGCCTACAAAGCAATTTGGAGGAATAACCAGGGTGGTAGGAGGAGAAACAGCAAAGTGTGATGTTACAGAAGGCAAGCCTACTTTTCTCCCCAGAAGCAACCAATGCTAACAGATGGGTGGGTATCCTTCCAAATCATGTTCTATATATTTACATACATTCACAAATGTTTATATTACGTGCATATGTAGTTTTGGTTTTTATATAAATGAGCTCATAGTACATGTATTATTCTATCACTTGCTTTTTAAAAAATAACAGCTTTATTGAGCTATAATTTGCACATTACGCAATTCACACATTTAAAGTGTACAGTTCAGTTGTTTTTAGTATATTCATGAATGTGTGCAACCACTGCCATAGTCAATTTTTAGAACGTTTTCATCACCCCAGAAAGAAACCCTGTATCCTTTAGCTATCGCCTCCTTATCCCTCAACCCTTAGCAACCACTAATCTACTCTCAGTCGCTATAGATTTCCCTATTCTGGACTTTCATATTAATGAAAGAATATGTGATCTTTGTGACTGGCTTACTTTACTTATCACAGTGTTTTCAAGGTTCATCTATGTTGTAGCACGACTCAGAACTTCATTCTTTTTATTGCTGAATAAAATTGCTCTTGGAGGCCAGGCATGGTAGTACATGCTGGTAATCTCAGCACTTTGGGAGGCTGAGGCAGGTGGATCACTTGAGCTCAGGAGTTAAGACCAATCTGGGCAACATGGCAAAACCCTGTCTCTACAAAATACAAAAAAATTAGCTGGATATAGCAGTGTGTACCTATAGTCCAAGCTACCCAGGAGGCTGAAGTGGGAGGATTGTTTGAGCCTGGAAGGTCAAGGCTGAAGAGTGCTATGATTGTGCTACTGCATTCCTGCCTGGGCAATAGGCAAAAAACAAAACAAAAAGGAAAAAAAAAAACAACCCGGAACTTGCTCTTGGTATATCCATTGTGTGGATATACTACATTTTGTTTATCCATTCATCATTTGGACATTTGGGTAGTTTCTACTTTTTGGCTATTATAAATAACATGGCTATGAGTATTCATGTTCCAGTTTTTGTGTGGACAGATATTTTCATGTCTTTGGGTAATGTATCTAGGAGTAGAATTGCTGGGTCATATGGTAACCCTATGTTTAACATTTTGAGGAACTTCTGGATTGTTTTTCAAAGTGGCTAATCCATTTTACGTTTCCACCAGCAGTACATGAGGCTTCCAGTTTCTCTACATCTTTTTCAACAGTTGTTAGTATCTGTCCTTTTGATTATAGCCATACTAGGGGGTGTGATATCACATGCTTTTTCATTTAATGTGTATGGAATATTTTTCTGTACCAGCATGTATAGATATCTTACTTTTTTTTTTTTTTTTTGAGATGGCATCTCACTCTCGCTCTGTAGCCCAGGCTGGAATGCAGTGGCATGATCTCAGCTCACTGCAACCTCCATCTCCCGGGTTCAAGTGATTCTCCTGCCTCAGCCTCCCAAGTAGCTGGGATTACAGGCATCCACCACCATGCCTGGTGAATTTTTGTATTTTTAGTAGAGACAGGGTCTTGCCATGTTAGCCAGGCCGGTTTCAAACTCCTGACCTCAAGTGATCCACCCACCTTGGCCTCCCAAATTGCTGGGATTACAGGCACAAGCCACTGTGCCCAGCCGGTATCTTACATATTTAACTGCTGCACAGTTTTCCACGGAAACCATGCTTTTCAAGATGTTCCTGCCTATATCATTGTGTTATTTCTTCCACCAGGGCTTAGAAGCCTGGAAATAGAAACAGTGATGGTGGATCAATTCACTTGATCTAGATTTGGAAGTGAGAAGAATGTGGATGGTAATGGTGAGAGAAGATTTGAAATAATTTATCGACCATGTGGTGCAGATCAATCCAGTGCATAAGTAACTGACAAGGAGCTGGAGTAGATGGTATAGCATAGTGGCTAGAACCCTAAAAGAAGGGGTTTTCTATGGAAGTGGAAAGATAGCTTTTTGTTTTGTTTTGCATTTACCCATTCCTTCTGTTTAGGTTTTTTTTTTTTAAATATTGAGTTATTCACTGCTTTGCCTTCTTTTTTTGAGACAGAGTCTCATTCTGTCACCCAGGCTGGAGTACGGTAGCGATCTTGGCTCACTGCAACCCCTGCCTCCCAGGTTCCAGTGATTCTTGTTCCTCAACCTCCCAGGTAGCTGGGATTACAGATGCCCACCACCATGCCCGGCTAATGTTTGTGTTTTTATTAGAGATGAGGTTTTACCATGTTGGCTAGGCTGGTCTTGAACGCCTGACCTCAAGTGACCTGCCCACCTCGGCATCCCAAAGTGCTGGGATTATAGGCTTGAGCCACTGTGCCTGGCCTGCTTTGCCTTCTTAAACAGATGATTCAGAACATAATATAACCTTGTCTTGTGACTCAGATGGTCATTATGATAATCTGCTTTTTCCCTGGACTTCTGAGGCATGTAGGAATATGTCTTCCCTATGTCTTTTCCCTAAGTGTGTTCTGGATTTTTGTGCTTTTGAAGAAGTTCTGAGATCAACGTATTCTTGGTTCTTCTAATGTATAGCTGTTTGACTAAGGACTGACTCCATGTATCTCCTATGAAGTAAAGTTCATGGGTTTTATGACAGCAATTTTTCATGCTGCTTAGATGATTTTTCTCATCTAGGTTTTTAGTTATATTATGGCAGAGGTTATAAGAAATCTGATCTCCAGAGAGGTGTTGGTATTTCTTTAATTTGGCATAGACTGTTTTTGACAAGCTAGTTTTCTAGCATTGAACAATTTAATGAATGAGTATGTTCATAGTCACCCTATCCACATTATTTTTAATGGTAGAAAACTGTCTAATACAGTAGCCATTAGCTACATGTGGATTTTTCAATTTAAATATAAACTAATTAAGAGTAGACTGGGCACAGTGGCTCACGCCTGTAATCCCAGCACTTTGGAAGGCTGAGTTGGGTGGATCATTTGAGGTCAGGAGCAGTTTGAGACCAGCCTGGCCAACATGGTGAAACCCCGTTTCCACTAAAAATACAAAAATTAGCCGGGCATGGTGATACATGCCTATAATCCCAGCTACTCGGGAGGCTGAGACAGAAGAGTTGCTTGAATCCGGGGGGCAGAGGTTGCAGTGAGCCAAAATGGCGCCACTGCACTCCAACCTGGGTGACAGAGCAAGACTCTGTCTCAAAAAAAAAAAAAAGTAAGTACAATATTCAGTTCCCTAATTGTACTAGCTACATTTCAAGCACTTAGTAGTCACACACAGCAGGCATCTAGCATGCTCCCTCTTGGAAGTTCCCAGGGGACAGGAAGAGACTGGCTTTGTATATGTTCCTCTTACAAGTACTGAAGTTAGGAATTTCAAGAAGGAAATGAAACCGCTCCTAAAAGATCCCCTTGGTTTAGCAGACCAGCTGGACCAATTCCTAGGACCCAGCTTTTACACCTGGGCTGAAATGATGTCTATCATGAATACCCTGTTCACAGGAAAAGAAAGAGGAATGATTGGCAGAGTGGCCATGACTGTCTGGGAGAGGCAGCACCCTCCTGGGCAAGGAGTCTTGCCAGCCAAACAAAAATTTTCAAATGTTGATCCCAAGTGGGATAATAACAATCCCAGGGACTGGGCCCAAATGCAGGACCTCGGGGAACTAATAATTAAAGAGATCAAAGAGTCCACTCCTAGGACACAAAATCTCTCAAAGGCATTCAAGATTCAACAAGAAAAAGAGGAAACTCCCTCTGCATTCCTGCAGAGGCTCCTGAGAAAATACTCCAGATTAGATCTGGAGGACCCAGCAAGACAAGACCTTTTGAAGGTTAACTGTGTAACTAAGAGCTGGCCTGACATTACAAAAGAGTGATGAATGGGATGAGAAACCAATTGAGGAATTACTGAGGAAAGCTCAGAAGGTCTTTGTAAGGAGAGAGGAAGAGAAGCAGAAACAAAGACGAAAAGCATGGTTTCCACTGTGGAAGAGGTAGTCAGAAAAAGGTTAGATCAAGATACCTCTTGAACAATAGAATAATAGATTTCAACACAGAGAAAGAAGGGAAATGCAGGGAAAAGCTCCTAAGACTATGAGTGGATGTTACAAGTGTGGAAAGCCAGGGCATTTTAAGAGAGAATGTCTTGAATGGAAAAAAGAAAAGGTGATCTCCTTCATGACCGTTGATGATCTGGTGGGAAAGGGCAGCATTTCCACTGGCTCCTTATTGTCAGTGGGGCACCACCGTTGATGAAGACTAGTGGGGCCAGGGGTTCCTTCTGAGTAAGACCCACCAAGAACCCTTGATAAATTTGAAGGTGGGACCCGAGGATGAAGAAGTAACATTTTTGGTTGATACTGGGATGGCTCGCTCCTCCCTAATCCACCAACCAAGGGGTATAGAACTCTCTAAGGAAAAATTGACAGTATCAGGGGTAAAAGGGGAGGGATTTCATGTTCCGATATTCAGGAAAATGTTAATAGTTTGGGACTCTTACATGTTCCTGAAGCAGGAACTAACCTCCTGGGTTGAGACCTGCTTATGAGATTGGATGTTTAGGATAGAAATAAAGGAAGGACAAATAAAAGTAATGATGGGCCTCCTAATAGAGGAAGAGGAAAAAAAATTAATCCCCTTGTGTGGGTTAGGGAAGGCAACAAGGTAGGGTTAAAAGTCACACCCTTACAGATTAAACTAAAACATCCAGGAGAAGTAGTTTTCAGAAAACAATATCCTATTTCTGTTGAAGGGAGAAAAGGTCTCCAACAGGTAATAGAGGGATTGATTAAAGATGGACCATTAGAACCCTGCATGTCCCCATACAATACTCCAGTTCTCTCAGTCAAAAAGCCTGATGGGTTGTATCGATTAGTGCAAGACTTAGGGGCTATGAATTAAATTGTCCAGACCCACCACCCTGTGGTGCCTAACCCCTACACCCTACTTAATAAGATACCCTGTGAACATAAGTGGTTCGGTGTGGTGGATCTAAAAGATACATTCTGGGCATGTCCCCTAGATTTTAGGAGTAGGGACTTCTTTGCCTTTGAATGGAAAAATCCTATAACTGGGAGAAAACAACAGTACTGCTGGACTTTGCTGCCACAAGGTTTCACGGAAGCCCCAAACGTATTTGGTCAAATCATAGAAAAAGTCCTGGAGGAATTCCAACCTACCAGGGGAACCCAGTCATTATAATATGTAGATGATCTTTTAATTTCTGGGGAGAGGAGGGCCAAGGTATCAGAAACCACCATAAGCTTGCTTAATTTCCTAGGAGAAAGGGATTGTGAGTCTCTAAGAAAAAATTGTAGTTTGTAGAAAAAGAAGTTAAATATTTAGGACATCTGATTAGTGAAAGGAAGTAGAGAATAAACCCAAAGAAAATATCTTAGGCAAAGGCAGAACTCCAAAAATTTTTAGGTTCAACTGGCTGCTGTAGGTTACGGGTTGACTCATATGCTCAAAAGACAAAAATTCTGTATCTCAAGTTACTAGAGGAGGAACCCGATCCCTTGCAATGGTCCCCAGAGGAAATTCAGGCAGTGAAAGAGCTAAAGCAGGCCCTCATTACAGCCCCGGTCCTGGACCTCCCATCTTTAGAGAAACTATTCCATCTGTTTGTAACAGTAGACCAGCATGTGGCCTTGGAGTGCTCACTAAAACCTGGGGAGGGAAGAGGCAACCTGTTGCTTTTGTCTCCAAGCTTCTCGATCCTATCTCTCGGGGGTGGCCCAAATGTGTGCAAGCAGTAGCTGCCACAGCCCTACTGGTAGCATCAAAAGCTAACATTTGGTAGGGCCCTAATAGTAAGCACTCCACACCAGGTCAGGAATATATTAAATCAAAAAACCAGGAGGTGGTTAACGGATTCCTGGATTCTAAAACATGAAGTCATATTACCAGAAAAAGATGATTTTGTCGTAACAACAGATACTTGCTTGAATCCAGCCAGTTTCCTATGGAAAGGAGAGGAGAACAAAGAGACCTCAGACTGTATCTGCTTAGATATCAAACCAAAGTTAGACCAGAGCTTAGGGAAGCTCCACTACGTGATGGGATAAGGCTGTTTGTGGATGTTTCGTCCCAAGTGACAGATGGCAAGAGGCATAATGGCTATGCTGTCATTGATGGAAATAAACACTTTAGTCCACCAAATAATGTCCCTAAAAGGGTAGAAATAATTGAGGTAAAGGATTTAAGGCCAACTTTAGAAATTGAGACAGGGTACAGGGATGTGAGTGCCTGCGTTGAATGGGTCAAATTTTCGGTACAAGCCCTCAAAAAGAGTAATTGCCGTGTATGTGCTGTGGGATGACCTCAGGCACAGGTGGTTTCATTTTCTCTAGGATGGGATACCAATCCTGAAGGAATGTGTTGCATGTTGGCTCTATACCAGGACAAGGATGCATGTGGAAATGAGACTTGTAAGAGCCTGTCGTTGCTCTTTCCCTCATTGTGGAGGTCAGATCCAAAAGCGATCCCCTTCCTTTTTCTCTATAGGGAATATAGACCACTCCTCTTGCCTCTCTAGGCAGGGAGCAGAGTTCAACAAGCCCATGGGAGAACTCTCAATTTGTACCCACATCCTAAACATCACTGGTGAGTCAGGCAATGGCAATTACTCAGCTCCCCATATACCCTGGGCTGATGTGTGGTGGTATTATGGGAAAAGATACTTCTATGACCTGTTAGTTACTGTCTGGGACTTGTGCTATAGTCCAGTTGGCCATTCTCTTCACCCTAGCATTCCATAAGATACCCAAAAATACACATGACCACCAAAACTGGAGAGATTGGACAAATTCTTTTGATACCAATATATATATTGACTCATTAGGAGTCCCCAGAAGGCTATCTAATAAATTTAAGGCCCAAAGCCAAATAGCTGCTGGGTTTGAGTCAGCACTCTTCTGGTGATCAACTATTAATAAGAATGTGGATTGGATTAACTACATCTGTTATGATCAACAGAGATTCATCACTTATACTCAGAATGCCCTCAAAGGGGTAGCTAGTTAGATGCCACCAGCTGAATGGCCTGGGAAACAGGCTTGCACTAGGCATACTAGGAGTAAAAGGGGGTATATGTGTTATGCTGGGTGGAAAATGTACTTTCATTCCCAACAATACTGCCCCAGATGGGACCATCATAAAAACTTTACAAGGACTGACAACTCTAGCCAACAAACTGGCAGAAAATAGTGGAATTGATGACCCATTTACAGGTTGGCTAGAAGGTTGGTTTGGAATATGGAAAGACATGGTAGCTTCAATCCTTACATCTCTCATAATTGTGGCAGTAGTCTTAACAGCAGTGGGATGTTGTATTATCCTTCGTGTGAGGGGAGTAGCACAGAGATTAATTGAAACAGCTATTAATAAACAAATGTCCATGACTTACCAGCATAATAACCTGCCACTATTAGAAACTAAATTAAACTCACTCTCCTATGAGGAAGAAAGTAGACAACTTCTATAGTGATTCAAAGACCAACAGGGTTTAGATGAAAATGAGACCAAAGGAAGTAAATAGAAAAGGGGAGGAAATTTGTGAGAAAACATCTTACATGGCCCATTTTCAAGGCATGATAAATCTAAGTACTGGCAACCAGGCTGTGGACGTAACAAACCGCATGGCTCATGTACCTAGGAAGTCATGATAAGGGGACAGAATGTAGAGGAGGGGTCAGCCCATAAAAAGGAAGAAAGTTTCATTATTGAGAAATCGAAACTTAAGCAGGGAAGGGGACTGGGGTATAACTTTATAAGGGATAATAAAACTTAGGTGACATCTGGTACTATTGTAACCCCATAGCACTCGACCAGTGAAGAACTGCGGGAGGGACTCGCATGCTAGGAGATAAATTATCTGCCCTAACTGCCCCAGGTGTGCCTGCCTGCCAGACACCCAATCTTGCAAGACCACCATTAAAGGTCTTCCTTCCATTGTTCTTCCTGTCTCCAAGTCCATTTTTTGGGTTTGGACAGGTGAATGTTTTTTTCACATTTTCTGTCTTTAGCCTATCTGGAAACACCAAAATATGATTGTTATGACTCTCAAAATATGATGATTCTGTGAGTATAGTGGTATAGGAGTATCTTATCAGCAAGACAAATCCACAGCTAACTCAATATCCTATCAGAGTGTCTGACTACTGTAATGCAGTTATTTCAGGGCTAATCTCTGCTAACTTTTCTTCTCAAACACACACACACACACACACACACAGATATGGATGCACATGCAAACAAAAAACAAGGGACTTGATATATTAGCCAAAGCTAAGCCTTCTGAGCTTCTCTTTGCCTAAAATAAAGGATGATAAATGAAAGTCTGAATCATTCCTAGGAGAAGCAGCAGCAGACACGGATGCGTAATTGGTCTTGTACTTCCAGTCTTGGCAAGATGGCATAGACTCATTTCTCCCTGCCTCTCCCAGGTAAGTCCAACCAAAAACCCTGGAAATAATTCAACAGGTGGCCACAGGAGAATTCTAAAAGGTGTAAAGGGGAAGGCAGAATGATTAGGAATCCCAGAACTGGAGGAACACCATACTAGCAGGGTACCTTGTGACTCTCAATGACAGAGTGTAACCCAGGCCCAGCATTTCCCAAACCCCAAACCTAGCAACAGAAAATGGTTTCTGTAGGTTACTTTCTCCTCTGCATTGAATGGGAGTCCTACTGACACCACCAGGTAAGCCTAGCAGCTCCAGCAAGTGGGATTTAGCAAGGCGCCCCACTGACAATAAGGAGCCGGTGGAAGTGCTGTCCTTTCCCACCAGATCAGAGACTCCCCTACTCCACTGAAAGATACTCTCCAGGCAAGTGTACCACCAAGGGGAAACCTGACCCTGACAAGTAGCCTGGCCCAGGAAGCCTGTTTGTCTTCATTGTCTTGAGGCTTCTCTCTTCCTCTGAGAGATATCAGGAAGGCAGGCAGCAAATTCAGGGGAGTCCCACCAGAACAAGCAGAGACAAGGAAGATTCTTTGTTTCCATAGACTAGAAAAATCATTTCCCCCACCTAGAGGCACAAGGCAACCCTGTGTGAGGAAGACTCTGCTTCCTCAGGTAGCACCAGCAGGGCAGAGTGGATCCATTAGCACCACATGAAGCAAGTAGACCAAAATAGCACTACAGAGGCTCTGAAACTAAATTGTCACTGGAATCACAGCCTTTGAAAGTAGGCCAGGACCTGCATGCTAAACCTAAACAGACTGACTGCCTGCTAAAATAAAATATTTAAGTAGGCATCAGAGCCTTCTAACATAATAGTCAACATATCCAAAATATGATAAAAAATCACCCTAAGACAATGAACTGATACCAACACCAAGATGAATTAGATGTTGAAATTATCTGACAAGGGTTTTAATGTAGCCACCACAAAAATGCTTTAATAAGTAATTGCAAAGTCTCTTGAAATAAATGAAAAAAGTATAAAATCTTAGTATAGCAATAGAAATTATAAAAAAAGAATCAAATATACTCCAGGCCAGTCTGATGTGGTACATTCAGTTTCTGATTAGGAACCTGGAGTAGGGCAAGGACAGGATAAGATGGGAAGTACATGTGTGGTTCTGTGATGGTGTTGCAGCTGCATTATTTCATCACAAGGGGCTCTTATGTTGTTAAAGGACACAGATCTGAATCTTGACTGAGTAGTTTTCTCAGGGGCATGGAGCACTTCCTGTGGAGTCAGGAATTGGGAAACTTGGTTTTAACCTTTATGTGGCTGTGTGACTATTTCTTATCTGCCTCTTTCTGGGAATAGGAATTAATTCAAATCCAGGAAGGGAGTCTGGTCAAATACAAGTAACAATCAATAGCCCAATGGCAACCTTCCCTTCCCATGAGTACTCACTGCGTGCCAGACACTGAACTAGATCTCTTTGTGAGCATCCATTCATGGAATCCTCACAGCAGCCCTCCACTGAGGGCATTTTTGAGATCTTGGGCTTAATTGAGTTAAAGTTCCCTTAGTAGACACCTGGGGTAGCCTACAAAGCCCTGTGCCAGGTATAGATATAGGTGATGCTGTGATGACACCCTTCATAGACACATGTGACCAGAGCTCACAGCAGGTAGGGGGCAAGCAAGATCCTGGGATGGAATAACGTGCAGGTCCCAAGGAACAAGTGGACACATTCTGGGAGTGTTTGATAAGATTTCCCCTTGGCAGGGTATTTAAGTTGGGCCTCCAGATACTGGTGAAAGCATGGACTTTGGCATCAGGAAGACTTGCTTTCAAGTCCCAACTCCTTTGCATCTTGGCAATGGGACCTTGGTTAAATTAAATCATCTAAAAAAAAAAAAAAGAACTTAACCTGACTGAGTCTCAGCTTCCTCATCTGTAAAATGGGTGTAAGTATTGCTATAATCATTGTTGGGTTGTTGTGAAGAAGAAATGGGAAAATGATCAGAGCAGCCCCAGGCAGGGATAGTCTGTGCCTCTTTACTTGAAGGCCCCTTCTGACACTCCTTCTTCCAGGATTCCTTTTTTGATCTCTTCTTCCTTCAAACTCATACTTAATCAGTCATTTTATACATGATTAAAACACCTGTTCACACTTTTAAAAGAAGCAAATGAAAATTACAGAACTGAAAAATATTTTTAAAAATTGCTGGATAGGATCAATTATAGAATAGAGATGGCAGAGGACAGAATCAGTAAACATGTGTATAGATCAATAGAATTTACCCAGCCTGAACAAAAGAGGGAAAATAGACTGAAAAAAAACTGGATAGGGCCTCAGGGACCTATTGGAAATAACAAAGGATCCAACATTCATATCATCAGAGTCCCAGAAGGATAACAAAACCAGACAGAACAAAGCAAGAAAACTATAGATGAATATCTTTCATGGACTTAGACACAGAAACCACCACAAAATATTAGCCAAATGAATCCAACAATGTAGAAAAGAACTGTACTCTGGGATTCATTCCCACATATACAGTTCAATATTTTAAAATTCATCAATATAATCCACCATATCAGCAGACTGAAATCATTGACCATATCAACTGGCACAGAAAAAGCATTTAATAACATTCAACTTTTTTGTTTTTGAGACAAGGTCTCACTTTGTCACCCAGGCTGGAGTGCAGTGGCACAAACATGGTTCACTGCAGCCTTGACCTCCTGGGTTGAAGTTATCCTCCCTCCTCAGTTCTCCCAGTAGCTGGTCCTGTAGGTGTGTGCCATCGTGCCTGGCTAATTTTTTGTAGGGACAAGGTTTCACCATGTTGTCTGGGTTGGTCTTGAACTCTTGAGCTCAGGCAATCTACCCACCTCAGCCTCCCAAAATTGCTGAGATTACAGGCATAAGCCACCACACCCAGCCAAATTAAAAACTCTCAGTACACTAGAAATAGAGGGGAACTTCCTTAACTTCATAAAGAACATCTACAAAAAAACCTACAACTGGCATTATACATAATGGTGAAAGACTGATTTCTTTCTCAAGTCAGAACAAGGCAAGCACATCCGTTCTCTCCTCTTCTTCTTCTCTTCCTCTCCTCCTCCTCCTCCTCCTCCTCCTTCTTCCTCTTGAGACAGAATCTCACTCTGTCACCCAGATTGGAGTGCAGTGGCATCATCTTGGCTCACTGCAACCTCTGCCTCCTGGGTTCAAGTGATTCTTGTGCCTCAGCCTCCTGAGTAGCTGGGACTACAAGGGCAAAACACCACAACATCAAGATGGTGTTTCACCATGTTGACCAGGCAGGTCTTGAACACGTGACCTCAGGTGATCCTCCTGCTTCGGCCTCCTAGAGTGCTGGGATTACATAACTGACTGTTCTCACTACCTCAATTCAATATTATACTGGAAGTTCTATCCAGTACAGTGGCAAGAAAGGGAGAAAATAGCTCTAGCACAGCAAGGCAAGAAAAGGAAATAAAAGGTATATAGATTGAAAAGGACCAAGTGAAAACTGTCTTGATTTGCAAAAGACTTCATTGTTTACATAAAAATCACAGGGAATCTTTTTTTTAAAAAAAACACCCTTGTAGAACTAATCACTGAATTCAGTAAGGTCATATGATACCAGATAAACACACAAAAATCAATCATATATCTATATACTAACAATGTGGAAATCTAAATAAAGAACACAATACCATTCATACTTGTGCCAAAGAGCAAGTATAAACTTAACAAAACATGCAAGGATCTGTATGTTGAAAATTATAAAACACTGAGGAAAGAACTCAGAGAAGACCTTAATAATTCCAGAGACATACTGTGTTATGCGTTAAAAGACTCAACATAGTAAAGATGTCAGTTATCCCCAAATTGATCTACAGGCTAATGAAATTCCTATCAAAATCTCAGCAGGGATTTTCATAGACATAGAAAAGCTTCTCTAAAATTTATATGGAAAGGCAAAGGAACTAGAGTAGCTGAAGTGACTTTCATAAAGAATAGATTGGGGGGAATCACTCTTCCCAAGGTAAAGGCTTACTATATACGGCTATAGTAATCAAGACACTGTGGTACATGGGTATAGAGAGTGGAATGATAGATCACGGAGACTTGGAGGGAGGAGGATGATAAGAAATTGGCTAGTAGGTACTATGTATGCTATTCAGGTGATGGATACACTAAAAGCCCTAACTTGGCCACTGTGCAATCTATGCATATAATAAAATTACACACGTACCCCAATATTGTACAAATAAAAAGGAGAAAAAAGACAGCGTGGTAATGGCAGAGAGTAGACTCATAGATTAATGAAACAGAAAACTCAGAAATATACGAATGCAAACTTGCTCAACTGATTTTTGACAAAGGTATAAATGCAACTTAATGAAGGAAGGATACCCTTTCCAACAGGCAGTTCAGGAGCAATTGACATTCATAGGCCAAACGAGTGAATTTTTACTTAAACATCCTACCTCATACAAAAATAACTCAAAGTGGATCACAGACTTAAATGTAAAGCATAAAACTATAAAACATTTTAGAAGAAAAAAAAAAACAGGAGAAAAATCTTGATGATCTAGGGCCTAGCGAAGTGTTCTTAGGTTTGACACTGTCTAAGGGTTATTCATGTAAAAAAATACATTAAATTGGATTTCATAAAAAAAGTTTTGATCTATGAAAGGTGCTATTAAGAGAATGAAAAGACAAGCTGTAGACTGAGAGAAAATAGTTGTAGACTGAGAGAAAATAGTTGCAAGCCATATACCCACCAAAGGACTCGTATGTAGGATATATAAAGAACTTTTGGGCCAGACATGGTGGCTCATGCCTATAATCCCAGCACTCTGGGAGGCCAAGGCAGGTGGATCATTGGAACTCAGGAGTTGGAGACCAGCCTGGGCAACATGGGAGACCCCATCTCTACAAAAAATACAAAAGTTAGCTGGGTGTGGTGGCACATGCCTATAGTCCTAGCTACTTAGAAGGCTGAGGCAGGAGAATTGCTTGAGCCCAGAATGTCGAGGCTGCAGTGAGCCAAGATGGTACCACTGTACTCCAGCCTGAGCGATAGAGTAAAACCCTGCCTCTGGGGTGGAGGCAGATTAAGAGATACTCTATTTTGATTTCCTAGTGCTGTCTCCTGGTATGAAGATTTATATAGCAAAGGCTTATTTTTTCATTAAAGTGATGTTCAATTAAACTTGGTTACTGAGAATTTCCAGAAGGCAAATAATTCTTCTTTGGATTACCAGAGGCCCTAAGGTGTTACATGCTCAGGTTTGGGGAGTTATTATTCTTTGTAACTATCGAGTCTGGTAGCCAGATGGCCAATGAGTTTCGTGCCTGCACAATGAGCCAGAAAATGTTCAAGGCCCCAGTTTTTTGTTTTTATCTTTTTTAAAAAAATTAAACTTTCCATTTTGAGATGACTGTAGGTTCACATACAATTCTCAGAAACAGCACAGTGAGATATTCTGTACCATTTATCCAGTTTTTTCCAGTGGTAACATCTTATAAAACTGTACTACAATATCACAACCAGAAAGAACACTGCTACAACCCATCACTCTTGTCCAGATTTCCCAAGTTTTACTTGTAATCATTTGTTTCTGCTTATGTGTCTATGTATTTAGTTATATGCATTTTTTAAAACAACAGATTTTTTTTACCAGAAGTTTTATGCAATTATATTACATGTAGGTTCATGTATCCACCAATACAATACGGAAATGTACTGTCACCACAAGGAACCTTTTGTAGCCATGCGTACCTCCTTTTTTTTTTTTTTTTTGAGACGGAGTTTCGCTCTTGTTACCCAGGCTGGAGTGCAATGGCGCGATCTCGGCTCACCGCAACCTCCGCCTTGTGGGTTCAGGCAATTCTCCTGCCGCAGCCTCCTGAGTAGCTGGGATTACAGGCGCGCACCACCACGCCCGGCTAATTTTTTGTATTTTTAGTAGAGACGGGGTTTCACCATGTTGACCAGGATGGTCTCGATCTCTTGACCTCGTGATCCACCTGCCTCAGCCTCCCAAAGTGCTGGGATTACAGGCTTAAGCCACTGCACCCGGCCCCTCCTTTTTTTTTGAGACAGAGTTTTGGTCTTGTTGCCTAGGCTGGAGTGCAGTGGTGTGACCCTGGCTCACTGGAACCTCTATCTCCCAGGTTCAAGCAATTCTCCTGCCTCAGCCTCCTGAGTAGCATGCCCACCTAATTTTTGTATTTTTACTAGAGACAGGGTTTCACCATGTTGGCCAGTCTGGTCTCAAACTCCTGACCCCACGTGATCCACCTGCCCCAGCCTCCCAAAGTGCTGGGATTACAGGTGTGAGCCACTGCGCCCAGCTGCCATGCCTACCTCCTATATGCCCCATTCCCTAATGCCTGGTGCCCACTAATCTGTTCCCCATCTCTATGTTTTTGTCATTTCAAGAGTGTTAATATACATAATCATAGAGCATATAACCTTTTAAGATTGGCTTTTTTCACTTAGGAAGATTCCCAGAAATTCATTCAAGTTATTGCATGAACCAATACTTGATTTCTCTTTTTTCATTTTTTTGAGACAGTCTCATTCTGTCACTCAGACTGGAGTGCAGTGATGTGATCACAGCTCACTGCAGCTTTGAACTCACTCAAGTGATCCTCCTACCTCAGCCTTATGATTAGCTGGGACTACAGGCATGTGCTACCACACCCAGCTAATTTTTAAATTTTTTGTAGAGACAGTGTCTCACTATGTTGCCCAGGCTGGTCTCGAACCCCTGAGCTCAAGCAATTCTCCTTCCTCAGACTCCCAAAATGCTTGGATTACAAGCCTGAGCCATTGTGTCTGGCCCCTGATTTCTTGTTATTGCTGCATGGTATTCCATGGATGAACTGTAGTTTGTTAATCAATAATCTGTTGAAGAATGCTAACAGTGTACGAGTGATACAGTTTTTCCGCTTATTTGCCAGCATGTGTGTTGTTAACTATTTTTTAACTTTAGCTATTCTGATAGGTGTTAAGTGATATCTCATTGTGATTTTAATTTGCATTCCCCTTATGGCTAATGATTTTGATTGAGCATCTTGTCATGTGTGTTTGCAATCTATATATCCTTTCTGGTGAAATATCTCTTCATATATTTTGCTCATTTCTAATTGGATTGTTTGAGTTTCGAGGGGGTTTTTTTGGAGACAGGGTCAATTTTGCATTGCTATGAAGAAATACCTGAGGCTGGGTAATTTACAAGAAAAGAGATTTCATTGGCTCAGGGTTCTATAGGCTGTACAGGAAGCATAGTGGCATCTGCTTCCATGGAGTCCTCAGGAAGCTTCCAATCATGGTAGAAGGCAAAGCAGGAGCAAGCACATCACATGGTGAGAATGGGGTAGCCAGGTGAGAGAGAGAGAGAGAGGAGGTGCCACACACTTTAAAATGACCAGATCTCATGTGAACTCAGAGTGAGAGCCCACTTATTACCAAGGGGGTGGCTCAAGCCATTCACGAGGGATCTGTCCCCATGATCCAAACACCTCCTACCAGGCTCCTCCTCTAACATTGGGGATTACGTTTCAACATGAGATTTGGGTGAGGACAAATATACAAACTATATCAGTTATACTGCATAGTTAATGAAGTCTGGGCTTTTAGTGTACCCATCACCTAAATAGTATACATTGTACCAATAGAGAATTTCTCATCCTTCACCCACCTCCCACCTTCCTGTCTTTTGGAGTCTTCTCCAATGTCTATTATTTCACCCTCATTATAGAGTTCTGAAGCCAGAGATCAGCATCTTGGACTCCCTGAACTATTCTCAGATCACTTCTCTCACCAACTGGGGAACCTTCCAGGACAGAAGCAGCCAGCTGACTTCTGTACATATATATGGTTCTTGCCCAGGACCCTCCATGTGATTCTAGAGCCAGTCCTACACGTACAAAAAAAATAGGTACAACTGCCTCAGGAAGTCATGTTTTAATGAGTTCTTAAACTGCCCTCCTGAGTACCCCAAAATGTCTCTTGCTAAGGTTTTATCATGCTGAACTTTGCAGCATCAGAATCATCCATCTGGACTAAGGGATTCCAGAAGACCTCCTCAGAAATGCAGATGTGTTACTTATGAGGATTTTCCATGATGAAGTTTGGCTCTGTGGATTAGAGTGATACCTTTGGATTCGAGATGTGTGAAAGGTCTGGAATGGTGCTCAGTGCTAAGAAATAGGAACTCCGCCTTACATTAAGAGGTAGGATAGGGGATGACCCTGCTCAGCCAGGTGTCAGCTCAGGAGATGCCGGGATTCAGAGAGGTGGGCCAGAAGGGGAGGGAAGTACCAAAGGAAGAGTTGGGGCATGCTGAGTACAAACTTTTCCTGTTTCACAAATATATCTGGATCATGCCCTGGGGGGGCCCCTATTGAGTTGGATAGCTAGATGCTTGTTGGCTTCTACCTTATCCACCTACCAGAAAAAGACTAAGTAAAAGCTTTGAGATTCGATTCAGTAAAAAAGAGTTGATGAATCCAGTGTACTTAGCCAAAACGAGGGATAAGGATGCCTTCTGGTTGCAGGACAGCTTTACTCTTTGTTTAGTTTCCTCTTCTTTTGTGTTTCCCATTTCTCCTCAAACGCAAGCCATCACCAAGGTCCTAAGAAACTCGGTTGTCAAGTATTGAACACTGACAGGTTCTAACACGAAGGAAGACAGTCTCAGGTGGCAAGAATTAACCTGGAGCTGAGGGCATTAAGACAATCTTTGCACATTGCATCCAAAAGTAAGCTTCCCTTCTGGCCAGACATGGTGGCTCGTGCCCATAATCCCAGCAATTTGGGAGGTTGAGGCGGGTGGATCACTTGAGGTCAGGAGTTTAAAACCAGCCTGGCCAACATGGCAAAACTCCTTCTCTATGAAAAATATAAAAATTAACCGGGCATGGTGGCACGCACCTGTAATTAGGCACTTCAACCCAGGAGGCGGAGGTTGCAGTGAGCTGAGATTGCGCCACTGCACTCCATCCTGAGCGACAGCACAAGAATATGTCTGAAAAAGAGAAAAAGAAAAAAGAAAGCTTTGCTCTGCCTGGGGTTAACCAGGGCCATGGTCTTTTTCACTAATGTTATTTTATAGCTCCCCTCCCCACTACAGACGTATGCAACTAATGAAGTAAGGGTGTGTATGTGCAGCAAC